CTCAGTTTGGCCGGACGGCCAGCTCTAGGAAGGGTTCTGGTCGTCCCAAACGTCTTCCATTTAAGGATTATGGAGGCCCCTGTGCTCTTAGGAACCTTAAGTGCAGCAGAAATTTTTTTTTGTAACCTTGGCCAGATCTGTGCCTTGCCACAATTCTGTCTCTGAGCTCTTCAGGCAGTTCCTTTGACCTCATGATTCTCATTTGCTCTGACATGCAGTGTGAGCTGTAGGGTCTTATATAGACAGGTGTGTGGCTTTTCCTAATCACGTCCAATCAGTATAATCAAACACAGCTGGACTCAAATGAAGGTGTAGAACCATCTGAGGGATGATCAGAAGAAATGGACAGCACCTAAGTTAAATATATGAGTGTCACAGCAAAGGGTCTGAATACTTATGACCATGTGATATTTCAGTTTTTCTTTCTTAATAAATCTGCAAAAATGTCAAAAATTCTGTGTTTTTCTGTCAATATGGGGTGCTGTGTGTACATTAATGAGGAAAAAAATGAACTTAAATGATTTTAGCATATGGCTGCAATATAACAAAGAGTGAAAAATTTAAGGGGGTCTGAATACTTTCCGTACCCACTGTATATAAGTGTAAGCTCAACAGCCCACTCATATATGCCAGAGCTGTCTTTAACATCAAGCTACGTGCAAACAACACACACAAACACAGCAACATGAAAAACAGAAACGACAATGAATCCCTTTCTGCAGTGACAGTTTTCCATTGTTTTCACCCCATTTTCTATTCAAGTTAATTGAAATTTTATAGAAATCGAACAAAATTCATCACGCAAAAAATGACTGAAAACCTTTAGGAGTTCAGTAAATGTTGGTTCTTTCTGTTGTCTGATGAAGCTTAACCCACTGCAGTTTTACCCATCTGTCTCTCTACAGGGCATCTACAGCTGCTTCAACGGAGTAGAGCAAACTGACCGCAATGGAAGCATACAGAGTCCTGACATAACTACCAACTACACACAAGCTAATGTGCTTAAGATGCTGAAGACAGCCAAGGACATGGTGTCCTCTGCCAGAGTGGAAAACTCTCTGGACAATGCCACCAAAACAATAGAAAACTGGAGCAGGCGGGGAGCAGAAAATGTGCGCGCTGGCCTGTCACCCAGAGTGACAACCACAGACATGACCCATGGCCGTCTGCCCTACATACCCAGCATCACAGACAACCACTCCCCATACCCTCAGAGGGCCCTCACACCCACCTTTCCAGTTCATTATGGGGACACCTCCCCCCAGCCTCGTGTCATGATCCACCCCACCCCACTACGCTACACGCTGCCAGCCCGAAGTCAATATGTCTTAGAGAGGACTCTGCCCATCTCCAGCATCAGCAGCCCTCACATTGCCATGAGGGACCCCACTCCCACTGGTACACCTAACCCCCACCACAGCAGCAAGTTGTATGTGGAGAACCAGGCCCGGCACCCCACTATCCCTTTTGTTCCTTACAGGGAGTTCCAGGTGCCTGATATACACATGGAGCACAAAGGACCGATCAGGAGGAAGCTTAGCTACCCCCCTGACTGTGTCAGCCAGAAATGCAGGTCTCATAGCTATGTGTTTGATGCTGCAGACCCTAGAGTGAGAGCTGACTACGATAAACCTAGATCCTGCCTTGCTGAGTTGAGGGCTAATCACCTACTGAACCATGCCGCTGATGCTGCTGCCATGACCTGTACAGCAGGACACTATCCAGGTAGCAACACAAGCTGCAACTCTTGTATGAAGTCTTATCTGCAGCCTGGAGTGGATGACATACCACTCCAAGGGCAGGACAAACCCAACTGCCGCGCCTCATTCCTCAAAGCCGCATGGGGCAATGACAGTATCCGTCAGGTAGATGAAACAAAGCCCTCCACGTCCACATCTCCCTCCACCCGTGTAGAAATGCCTGACCTGTTTCCACGGGTGAAGGTAGCTAGCCCAAAGCCCCACAAGCTATACAACAGTCTGGGGCACAGACTGTCCTGCTACCCCCTGGCTGCTGAGCCTGCCTACTTGGACCCAGCCCACATGGGCTCCTACCCCTACAAGCAAAATCTCAAGTATTCTGAATCCACCCAGCTGCCCTCCTACAGGGAAGCCCCTCTGCAGAACGCCGCTGCCCTGCGCCGCGCCTCCTCCACAGTAGTGCACAGACACTATTCCACCTACCTGGACTCGTACACAGACTTACCAGTGTATGTGGAGCAACTGAGTCAAGGGCCATCCCAGTTCTACAACAGCTCCAAGGACATGTGCCACTTCATTCCCTGTACAAGGCACTGCCCAGATAATGCAGTGATGCTGCCTCATGTGGGTGACAGGCAGATGGTTTACCAGAACAGTATGTTCAGGGCATACGATGGTACAGGGAAGAGGGAAGCCCCAGGCTCTGGGAGTAGAGAGCGGAGGCAGGTGTTAGTGGCGCGTAGAGTCAACAGTCCCTATGTGCCAAAGCCCTGGGGCAGGGTATCTAGTCTGGAGTCTGAGGTCTGAGTCCTCATCCTCACTGGACCTCCACTATGCTCTCAGACTGAATCCTTCTGAAGAGGCACATGCCAAGGGGTTCTCCCATCAGCCTGTTGATGGGAGAACCCCTTCCATCAACTCTACACCAACAGTGTATTTTGAGAGTGTCTCTCAATTATTAGTGCAATAATATCTTGGGCAGAAAATGTGAAGGAGAAGACCATCAAGCAATTTACTGCTGGGACTTTGTAAGTCAAACTTCAAATATTACACAAGAAAAGGCAATGTTAAAAAGTATTTAATACATAAGAATTTAACCTGTTGATGTAACAGATTTTTAAATGCTGTGTTGGTATATGAAAGACGTCTGGGAGACAATATACTGTAGCCTCTCTATCTGATTACAACTTGAGACTGTTGTTTTTCTTTTTTCATTTCAATTGAGAGATCAGTTATAAACACAAGTTAGTGATCAAACCACTGACATGTCTTCCATGAGTTTTCTAGTCCATGACCTTTGGTGTAAAGTTGCTCTGAGGCTTTCCGCTCTATAGGTCATTAATTTATTTTGACTGAGATTTTAAGAAGGGAACACCATAAAAAGCATCCTGTGTATTTCTAATGTTACACTGCCCTTTAATAAACAACAGGTTCAAGGGTCTTTTGGAATTATCTGTCATCTCAGTCTGTATGTAAACTATGCTCTCACATCATGCAGTGCGATTATGAATGTGACTCTACTTTTCATTTGTTCTCTATTGTGCTTACAATCTGTAATTTCTATGTGCCAACTTAGATGACTGTGTGAATACAGTATATGCACTGTAAAAGGTTAGTATTGAGTGTCTAGGTTCTGACCTTGGGCACTCTGTGCTCTAACAAAGTGCCTTCAACCATTCAAGGGAACAGTCTAAAATAAACTAAGATAGATTAAACTGAATGAACCAAACCATTGTTATGAAATGCTATCACTGATAAGCAGCAGATGACCATCAGTACATGGATATGACCTTCAGACTGGCACTGAATGCTGCTGAGTGTAGCAGCAGTGTGAACCAAACCCAACAGATGCTTGGCAGTTTAGATGCAAATATGATATGATGAAGAATTAGCCAAGCTTCCACAAAAAAAACTCTGATTAAGGTTAAGGTGAGGAAATGTGAAAGTGACTACTTATGCCGTGCGAGATTCCATTGAAGCCAAAATTCATTCTGTAAATGAAACCTTGTCCAAGACAACAGGCATGTTTCCATAAACCAAGTACAAAAATGGTTGCAGCCAAAACAATCAAATTCAATGAGCTACAAGTTAACAAATTCAAAACCAGTTCTAATAATACTCAATATTACAGTACTCTTGTTCCATCACTGTGCAAAATATCAGCATGAAAGCATCAGTGTGTCAAACAAAGACCAAAACAAAATGAGTGTTTAATGCACATACAACAGCAGCAGAAGAGCTCAACTTGACAGCCAGCACACACCAAATAACCAACCAGATGTGTCGCTGCAGAGAGTGACAAAATCAACCAGCAGTGTCACAGTAACTGAACGAGGCCCAGACAGTAACAGTAAACTCACAATGTGTTAAACATCTTGCTGAAATGACTCAGTGATTGATGAGTGTCACCGGAGGTAAAACACTGGGAAGAATCATTCTAAGCCACACAAACAATTTCCTTCAGACTTGAAAGGGCATTATTATAAAGAACGATAAATACTGCCCCTAGGGCTGAGCTGGTTAGAAAGCAACAATAACAACAAAGTGGGGGAGGGGAATACAGTACAAAACCATTCCAACCTAAAACAGCCACTACCTACACATCCTTAATCATAGTTGATTGCAGCTAAAAATAAAAATACAATATAGTTTAAAAAATCTGTGGTATCAAGTCACACACATGCCAAACCAGAGCTGGGAGACAATTAGCTCACTCATGACAACAAATCAATTCATAACTAATATCAGTGCAAGTCTATACATACTTAACAGCAACATTTGAGCAGAAAAGCAACAACACAAGAGCAACAAAAACAACTGGCAATAGCAGCCATATTTACAAGCACACAAACACTGACTGACAGAACCCATATTGTGTCCTAATTCAGTACTACATACTAAATGTATACAATATGCATTACATACACTAATACACTATTTTATACTAACAGAACGTGATCAAGTATATGCACTGTCACCTTTTAAATGCCAGTTCTTAAGACTCGTGTTTTGTTTTCCTGGACATGTTTAACTGCTTAATGCAATTTATGTGACTTTTTTTGCACCTTCATTTCCTTTGTGCATGTGGCACATTAGTGTCCATCAACAGTAAACTCAGAAATCCACTGCTATTTAATCTGCTTTGGAAGTACTTAATTTTGTCCATTTTTCCACCATGTGCAACATAATCAAAACCTCCTGTGGGCCAGGACACAACTATTAATCAAAGTAGGTATGTTAACACAGGCAGCAGAAACCTACCTTGCTGGAGGAACAGCGGTGGTCACGGTCAGCTGAGCTTTGAAAAGAACAACTGCAACTTCAAGCTGTGTAGACATAAAACATACAGAGAGTATTTTGGGACCTATTATCAAAGAAAATACTGTACGTATGGCTGTATTGTTGTAAACAAATCTGGATTACCTGACTACAAACAAAACAGTAATGACAAAATATCTGACCTGCATCTTTTTAGCCTGATGTCATACTTGTCAGTTTTGTAACATCTGAAACAATCTTAACAAGTCAAAAAGTCTTCACCTGGCACCTTTTCAGATAGTATGAACACTGGTCTAGAAACTGGGCCTTTTTACTTGTCTGACTAAGTTCTTATCTGCTGCAAATGTCCTTACCAAAGCTCAAAAGCCACTCACATGCAACAGGGTAAAATAAAAATGAAAACTCCTTCCCTTCATTTTATGAACCAAAATTCCAGTTTTGATAGTTAATATTATATTAGTAGCAGTGTAGTGCAGTCATATTTCCAAGCATACAAGCTTCAAGGCAATGTAAGCTCGCGATAATCAAGTTGATACGAACAGCAGACACCTGCCTTGATGAAGTCAGGTAGACCTGGCTGTTTGCTTTGGGAACCGCCGTGGACAGGCCCTTAGACTTCAAGCTTCATGTAGTTTAGTTTGCAGTCCAGCAATGACTGGAGAAGCACAGGAGAACTCATCAAAACACCTGTGACACTTCTCTCAAATGTGACACAATAGACGAGCTTCTTCAGATGCCGCATGAGGTCAATGCTGACCAGATGCAAACAGCACGCAGAGCATCAGCAGTTAAACACAGTTGCTGAATGATGCATTTGATGCAACTGCTTTCTGTTGATATTGTGACAGAAGTCTGTACTGTCACATCGGTTTTTGTTTCTAATATCTGAATATTTAGAGCAACGTTTTTTTTTTGATAAGATCAGTCATACAAATTTATCACAAGTTGGGGCAGCTACAAATATTCACAGTGGAAATGAAGCTAATGTTGCAAAACACTGACTCCAACTAAACGTTTATTCTGGTAATAAAACAGTGAACTTAGCCTCAAAACTCACCTCAAAAAAAGAAGTTTATCTTTACTCTGATATTGTTTCAGTTGAATTTATACATTTATGAAATTTTCACCAAAAACCTAAAACGTGCATAAGTCCTGCACTGAAGTGCATACAATTGTACAGGTGTACCTAATAAAATGGCCAGTCAGTGTATATCACACGTAGTGGTCTATGTTAACGTTGGACTATTCATTCTGCCTTTAATGAATAGCCTATAACATATCTGATGCTATTGTCACACAGTCCAAATAATGTTTGTCTTGTAGACATTTAACAAACAAGTGAACCTGAGGCAGGAAGGGACAGTGTGGAGAACGATGTCTGTGCAGGGACCTCTACGGAGACAGGTGGGTCACCACCAGCCATCCATTGCACACTACAGTTTCAAAGTAATTGGTGAATATATACTGTATGTTTTGTGGCTTTATGAGTTACAAAACATGATTAGATTGTTGTTTCTATTTCATGAATTGTTGAAGACAAATTAAACTGGGGCTGCTTGACAGACAAATTAGTTATTATTGTGAAATGCAGAAGAATGCAAATTGTGCCATGCAGGGCCAGACCTTTACGCCATAAAACATGTTGATAATGTTCTTAATGTTTGTTGAAATAAATATTTTCATAAAGATTAATATCTCTACATTTTTACCTTTACCAGTAGTTGTTTCAAGAAAAATAGTTGTGTTTTGAGTAATGAGGGGTCTGTGCCCCAGTAGAGCTTTATATCTAGCAATGCCCCAGGGAGCTGCTGCTTTTGATTCTCACTCTGCCTTTAATGTTTGAAAATTAGAGGGGGAAATTAGTTAATGCAGCTTTAATCTTGAAAAATGACACAGTAGCAGGGAACAAAATCAAGCTTAGTCACAGACCCAGACATACAGTAGAAGTTTTACTCTGCTGTCATGGCAGAAATCTTTCTTGTGGGCTTAATAACGTGATGAGAGGATGAGACTGACAAATGCCCACCTTAAGATCCGCAAATCCAGTGGTGGAAAGTAACTAAGTACATTTATTCAAGTACTGTACTTAAGTACAATTTTGAGGTATTTTTATTTTGCTTGAGTATTTTCATTTTCATACTTTGGTCAAAATATTGTACTTTTTAGTGCAGTACACTTATTTTATTTATTTATTTACATTTAGTTACTAGTTGCCTTTCAGAATCAGATTAATTTAAAAAAAATCTATATATCATAAGACTTTATTGATCTCTGGTGAAAAAATTGTCAAGATACCCAGCGCTAATTCAGTAAGCATATACAATATAAGCTCCTTTTTCAGCTGCAACAGTAAAAGTGATGCACACAATAATGTATCGGTAAATATAATCCAATAATATGATTTACATTAATGTTAAATGTGCCATTCTGCATAATGAGTACTTCTACTTTTACTACTTTAAGCATGTTGTAATGCTAATACTTTTGTACTTTTACTTAAGTAACATTTTGAATGCAGGACTTTTACTTGTAACAGTATTTTACACTGTGGTTTTACTACTTTTACTTAAATAAGGTTTTGTATAGTGGAAAAAAATGTACACATTTGTATATTTGTTTGCACAAATCCACACTCTTTAGTACAAAACCAGTGTTGAGAGCACAAATCTTCCTTTATGCAGTAGTGGAAGAAGTACTCCAAACCCTTACTTAAATTTGTAAAGCTTAAAACACACATGCAAATAATATTCCCAATGTAGACACTTTGTTATTGCCATTTCAGCACATTTTAAAGGACACCAGCCCTAAACACTGTAACTTATGCTCACAGGAACAGGAAATGTCATCTAGCTAAACTACTACTGCTGTAATGTTATCACTGATCCTCTAGCTGTGAAACTGGGCTCAGTTTTCAGGTTGGCTCAGAGACAAATGATGAGGCTTTTCTGTATTCTGCACTCCTCTCTGAGACCTGCAGGACTGATGCTAGGGCCGGTTGATTGCAATGCAGATAATAAATGATTTCACACATGCAGAAAATATCACCACCAATTTGCTCTTTCCAAAACATCCACAGCCATACGTGTGCCCACAAGTGATACTGGAGTGCATGTGGGAGATATACATGCTATTTAGAACCATAGCTCTAGTTGGAGTCTTGGCACCACACTGGAAAATAAAAGGGCTGATGCTGATTGCTAATTCCACATTGGAGATATTGTATGTCCCTGTTTCCATCAGGGACATACAATATCTGTGTGCTCTATAATGTCCATTCCCTCTCACTCCTCTCTGAAATGTAAAAATTTACTGAAAATAGGTGCACAGACATGAGCCACGACGACTTGTTGCTTGGTTTTACTGCATGAATACTGGAGAAGATTATACCTTAGTTTATAAATATGATTTTACTCTTGACTCCTCCAGCATATTGAAAATGTTAAAATTAGACAAAGGCAGATGTAAAACTTGAGGTGCTCTGTTGTAGGAGAAGAAACTGACTACAAGCCTTGGGCAAAGAAAGGAAAGGCTTTCCAATACAGTATATGGTGTGTAATGTCCCATTAAATGAAGAATTCATTTTCACTGTTGCCACTCTGAAACTTGTTGAATTACTGGCATCTTTCTCATTAGCTGAGATGAATTATATAGAAAACAACTTTGTTTGAATGACACATTCACAGGTCACACATTCTGTGACCTGACATCAAATGATGTTGACATCATTTATTGTGTCTCATTGTAGCTGCAGGATGGCATCAGTGATCACCTGACAACTTCCAGGCATACGCATGAGGCACACCACTGCTTGGGGAAGCCGGGTGCTGTGCAACTGCCGAAGACCCTTCATCGTCACTGTCCTCACAGGGAACCTCCGCTCCACCCAAGGCTCCTCGACTCTGGAAGGACACACTGTGCACAATGCACAATAAAGGCTTAAAATCTGTTCAACATTGTTCCTCTGTGGTCTCTGTCACATCTGTCTCCCTCCTTTTCTGACACTATCCCACACATGCAGTTATGGCAGCCATTTTGCTGTTCAGTGACGTGAGCTCAGGAGTACTTAGGCCCCCATCAGCCACGCTCTAGTGGTGGGGGGACAGTCTCCTCGTTGCTTCCACCTTGAATGAATGAGATTCTTTATTTCACACATATATGTGATAATATGACCCAGCACATCAAACCAAATATACTCAAGCAACACAAATTAAATACATGTCACCTATCACCATGATTCACCATAAAGACAGAAAGGTTTCATGCCAGGCTCATTTATATGCAGATCAGTATTCAGGCGCTTTGCATTGACTATTTATGGTTAAAAATTGATGTGTACAGGGCGGGATATGAGGCTAATTCATGTGCTCACAATCTGTGATTTATAAAGGGAACATTACTTACGGATGTGCATAGCACAGTTTTATTAGTCTGGATATTTTTCAGTGTACGCCATCTTTGGCTTTTGGACGCATGTAACTTTTAGTAAGGATTCTACATACTGTTTTATAAAT